GGAGAACATACCCAGACTACAGTGTGCCAGCCCAGCAGGGCCAAAAATCAAGAGGGTTTTTTCCCCCCAAACTGGTGGAAACTATACTACGAAGGAGCAATGTTTTGGCAGCTGTGATCCTGTACTAGAGATTTTTTTAGACCACTTGCCAATTCTGTAGCAAAATAAAATCTCTTCAGAAAGGCCTACGGACCTGCCCTCTTCATTTAGGCAGAGGGATGTGTTCGGTTAAGCACACGTCCTCACCTACGCACACAGAACAAGAAAACCCAGGTGAGAACCTCGCAGAGATCTTACATAACTTCGAAATTCAGACGGTAGAAATACTACCATGCGTACCCAAATACACCACATAGCGCTATTCGGTTATACAGAACATAAACCACACGCGTTACGTTACAGTTCGCACGCGGCGGGCAGAAGCAGCATCCTCAAAAAAGGAAGTTAACAGCAAGTGTCCAAATTATGGTTAGTTTGATCCGCTGAGTCTCCTAACAGTATTTTCAGTACACTCTAAAATGCAGACTATACGTCAGGCAATGCAAGGTAGTGGCAGGAAAAAAACCTTATTGCACATATGATCTCACAAGGCAGCCATTTCAGTAGGCAAAATAGATCCAACAATCATGTTACGAAGCCAAATAATTAGCTAAAAAGAGAAATTTTGAGTTAAAGTTAACTTCTTAGGTGTTAATGAGGACAGATAGCTGCCCTACCAGCAGTGACAGCAAAGCAAAAACCCCCAACCCCCTAAATGATATGCTAGACCCTAGCAGGGAAGTAAATAACATTACAAATACGTTTTTCTCTCACACCAGCCAACATGTATAACCCATTGAAACAAGGTGTTAAGTTAAAAATTCTAGTAAAATTCCAGGAAGATCTGGACATTTATATAATAACAAGCTCATCTGCAATTACACTGTCAATATAAAAACATTCTACTGCACACCTCTCCTCACGCAAACTAAATTCAAGCCAAAAAGTTACGCCAAAAAGTTCTATCCTAGGAAAAAGCCCCTCATACAAATGCTACTGCTAGATCACATCTTCTCCGAAATTCTCGCCAACTGTCACACTACTTGACGAAAATAACAACTTGTGCTTATTTATCATAAAGCACTTTAAAACAGGGAAAAGAACTTTTGCATTACAGATTAGATTTCGTCTTTACTATTTTACTCAGAAGGTGGATAATTTCGGGGGTGTTTTTGGTTGGTTTTGTTGTGCTTTTTTTTTAAAAAAAAGTTTTCTTGACTTCATTAGCAATTTATTCTTCACAAGCCATCGTTTTAAACCAAGAATAGTTGTTTCTTCTGATAATTAAGGATAATCTTTTATGATAGAGTAACATACACTTACTATTCAGAATTTACTCAGTAATTTATCTGGACTACTGCTGCCCCGTTATTTTAAACTGAAGCACTTGAAAGAAAGTCTGTTAGCATAAATAAAAACTTTAAAAAGTTTTCCCACAAAACAGTAGTTTTGCTAAAAATTAAAAGAGTTTCTTGCAAACCAATTTCCAACTTTTCAAAGCGCAATTCCCATTTCCTTCCCTCACCCATGTGTTCAGGGTTTTGTACCTTTGTTTAGGATGAGCTGTTTCTTTGCTTTGCATGATGACGTGTGCACTGTCCCCTGAGGAAAATGCCTTTGACATTTTTTTTGTGTCTAAGTGACAACTTCAAACCTGAGTAAAGGCAATAAGCTGCAGGCAAGTTGCCCAACTTCCACATGACGCACTTCATGATGGCTCTAAGAGGCTGAGTCTTCCTTGAGAGAAGACAAAGGACAGAGGTTGCTTGTGAAGAGTGCTTCATTAGCTTTCCTTGGAGGATGCTCAGAGCGAATATCAATAATGCCATTGTCATTGATAGTTCACTGAAGGAGAAGCATTTGTACAGAGCATCCAGCACCAACAGTGAGATCATGCATCAAATCAGACCTAATTACTGTCTGCAGTTTTGGAACAGAGAGTTGCATGACTCAGACGAGGAGAGAGAATTCCTCTCTAGCTACTTATTTCTCGTAGGGAAGTTGGAAAGAGGCATATGAAATGTATTAGGTTAGTGTTGTAGAGAAATTCTTTGGCCATATCCACTCATTTCAGCAAAGAGAAGTCCAGAGAAACAGGATTTGTAGTTCAGACACCTGCAGCATGTATTCTAGAAATCAATACTAAACCTCTCTGTACACACAGGATGATAGAAAAGTTTAGGTTGGAAGGACCTCTGAAGGTCCTCTCTCACCTCTCCCACTCCCCACCTGGGCACTCAAAGCAGGGCATTTGAACTTACATGGGGACGCTCAGGGCCTTGGCAAGCTTAGTTTTGAAATTCTGTCTCATTTCATCCTTGAAGCTATTCAAACCTGGACAAACTGCGCTGGCTGACCCTGCTTTGAGCAGAGGGGGTCACAGAATCATGGACTGGTTGGGGTTGGTAGGGACCTCTGGAGAGCATCTGGTCCACCCCCCCTGCCAAAGCGGTTTCGCCTAGAGCAGGTTGCACAGGATGGTGTCCAGGTGTGTTTTGAATATCTCCAGAGAAGGAGACTCCACAACCTCTCTGGGCAGCCTGTGCCAGTGCTTGGCCACCCTCAAAGTACAGAAGTTCTTCCTCATGTTCAGGTGGAACTGCCTGAGTTTCAGTTTGTGCCCGTTGCCCCTTAACCTGTCGCTGAGCACCACTGAAAAGAGTCTGGTCCCATCCTCTTGACACCCACCCTGAAGCATTGACCAGATCCCCTCTCAGTCTTTTCTTCTCCAGGCTGAACAGATCCAGTTCCTTCAGCCTTTCCTCATCAGGGAGATGCTCCAGTCCCCTCATCATCTTCATTGCCCTCCGCTGGACTCTCTCCAGTAGTTCCTTGTCTTTCTTGAACTGGGGAGCCCAGAACTGGACCCAGCACTCCAGATGTGGCCTCATCAGGGCAGAGTAGAGGGGAGGAGAACATCCCTCGACCTGCTGGCCACACTCTTCCTCATGCACCCCAAGACGCCATTGGCCTTCTTGGCCACAAGGACACATTGCTGGCTCATGGTCGACTTGTTGTCCCCCAGGACTCCCAGGTCTCTCTCCGCTGAGCTGCTCTCCAGCAGGTCACCCCCCAGCCCGTACTGGTGCATGGGGTTATTCCTGCCGAGATGCAGGACCCTACACTTGCCCTTGTTGAACTTCATCAGGTTCCTCTCCGCCCAACTCTCCAACCTGTCCAGGTCTCACTGAAGGGCAGTGCAG